GCGATGGGCGAGTGTGTGTGGGGTGCGGTGTTGCGGGTGGTGGCGGTGCAGGCGGCGTGGGCGCTGTGCTCGGGGCAGGTGCGGTACTCGGTGCCGGAGGAAGCCAAGGCCGGGACGGTGGTGGGCCGTGTGGCGCAGGACCTGGGGCTGGAGGCGGGCGAGGCGGAGGCGCGGCGGCTGCGGCTGGTGTCTGCGGGCCGGCGGGCGAGCGTGGAGGTGAGCGGGGCGAGCGGGGCGCTGGTGGTGAGCTCGCGGCTGGACCGGGAGGAGCTGTGCGGCAAGAGCGCGCCGTGCGCGCTGCGGCTGGAGGTGCTGGTGGAGCGGCCGCTGCGCGTCTTCCACGTGGAGCTGGAGGTCGCCGACATCAATGACAATGCTCCCATCTTCCGTGTGAATGAAGAAGCTCTTAACATCCCGGAATCGTCTGTGGCGGGATCTCGTTTCCCACTGGAGGGCGCTTCGGATGCAGATATCGGAGCGAACGCTCAGCTCTCCTACACACTCAGCCCCAGTGAGCACTTCAGTCTTGATCATCAGGGGAATAATGACGAGAGCGCCTCTTTGGGTCTTATTTTAAAGAAACCTCTGGACCGGGAGACGATGGCGGTGCACCGGTTGTTGCTGACGGCGAGTGACGGGGGCCGGCCATCTCTGACGGGGACGATGGAGCTGGTGATCTCGGTGCTGGATGCGAACGACAACGCGCCCCAGTTCAACCAGTCGGTGTATAAAGTTAAAGTCTTAGAGGGTTCAGAGTTCGGGACTCTGTTAGTCACGCTGAATGCCACGGATCCAGATGAAGGGATCAATAGTGATATTATATACTTATTTGGTAGACATGTCACTACAGAAGCTAAAGAAATGTTCACTATCGATGAAAACAAAGGAGAAATCAGACTTCAAGGCAAGTTAGACTATGAAGAAATGAATAGTTACGAGATCCCCGTAGAAGCAAGAGACAAAGGCTTCCCCCCGCTGTCGGGTCACTGCAAGGTGGTGCTGGAGGTGCTGGACGTGAACGACAACGCGCCGCAGGTGCGGGTGACGTCGCTGTCGGTGCCGGTGTCGGAGGACGCGCCGCTGGGGACGGTGGTGGCCCTGCTGAGCGTGTGGGACCGGGACTCGGGGGCGAACGGTGGTGTGCGGTGCTGGGTGTGGCCGTCGGGTCCGTTCGTTCTGGAGGCGACGTTGTCGGGGTCGTACTCGCTGGTGCTGCGGGAGGCGCTGGACCGGGAGCGGGTGTCGGAGTACGAGGTGGAGGTGCGTGCGGAGGACGGCGGTTCTCCGGCGCTGGGCGCCCGCGTGGGGCTGCGTGTGCCGGTGTCGGACGTGAACGACAACGCGCCGTCGTTCGCGCAGGCGGTGTACACGGTGCTGGCGCGGGAGAACAACTTGGCGGGCGCGGAGCTGGCGCGGCTGTGGGCGCGGGACCCGGACGAGGCGGGCAACGGGCGCGTGAGCTACTCGTTGTGGGAGGGCGCGTTGGGCGGGGGGTCGGGGTGGTGGTGGTCGGGGGCGTCGGTCTCGGTGGGGGATGTTGCGGCGTCGAGCTACGTGTCGGTGGAGGCGGAGAGCGGTGTGTTGCGGGCGCTGCGGCCGCTGGACTACGAGGAGGTGCAGGTGCTGCAGTTCGAGGTGCGTGCGGTGGACGCGGGGGAGCCGGCGCTGTGCGGCAACGCGACGGTGCAGCTGTTCGTGCTGGACGAGAACGACAACGCGCCGGCGCTGCTGCCGGCGGCGGGCGGCGGGGCGGCGGCCGGGGCTTTGTCGGGGGAGGTGTCGTCGGCTGTGGAGGCGGGGACGCTGTGGGCGTGGGCGCGGTGGGGTTCTCCGTCGGGTCAGGTGGTGGCGAAGATCCGCGCGGTGGACGCGGACTCGGGCTACAACGCGTGGCTGCGCTACGAGCTGTGGGAGCCGCGGGGCAAGAGCGCCTTGTTCCGCGTGGGGCTGTACAGCGGCGAGGTGAGCACGGCGCGGGCGCTGGAGGAGGCGGACGGGCCTTGGCAGAGGCTGGTGATCGTGGTGCGGGACCACGGCGAGCCGGCGCGCTCGGCCACGGCGACGCTGAGCGTGTCGCTGGTGGAGGGCGGCGAGGCGGCGCTGGCGGCGGCGGCGGGCTCGTCGTCGCTGCTGCCGCGCTCGTTGGCGGGCGGCGAGAGCGGCTCTGGGCCGGCGTCGGCGTCGGCGGCGACGAACGTGTGGCTGGTGGTGGCGATCTGCGGCGTGTCGAGCCTGTTCCTGCTGGCCCTGGTGCTGTACGGGGCGTCGCGCTGGGCGCCGCGGGCGGCCGTGCTGTCGGGGCCCGGGCCCACGACGCTGGTGTGCGCCAGCGAAGTGGGCAGCTGGTCGTACTCGCAGCGCCACAGCCGGAGCCTGTGCGTGGCGGACGGCGCGGCCAAGAGCGACCTGATGGTTTTCAGCCCCAACTTCCCGCCGCCGCCCGGCGCCGC